TATATATATATATATATATATATATTGTTAGAGAAGGAATATATTCATGAGCTAGAAACTATAGCTCAAATTGTGATGAATGAAAAAAATGTCAACTTGTAGGTTGACCCATAACCCACAAAGGTCAAGTTAGAGTTGGTCTTCATCAACCTATAACCTATTAGTGACTCAACACATATAACCCGTGATCCTTATTGATCTAACTTGAAGTTGACCCAATCAGCTTGTTTGCTAGGTCTAATAAGGGGCAAAAGTCAAATCCTTCATAATATCTTGTGTTATGGCCCTTAATTTCCTAAAGATAAGTACACTTCTCACCCTTCACTAAATCTACAACACTAAAATTATGAGTTAAGCAACAAACTCCATAGTTTCAAGTAACGGCTATGTCTATCTTCAATTCAAGTAGTAGTAAATTAGCAAATGGAGACCAACGACCTGTTAATCAAAGTACAATGAGCTTACTTCCACTAAAATAAGGTATCAAATTTGAATCTTATAAATAGAAAAACAAGTATTAAGAGAGTTTGTGGTCTGACTAAATTTGACTATAAATTAGTTGGGATCCAATATGATTTTTAAATATCGATAGTCTAATAAAAAGAAAAAATTAGCAAATGGAGAAGAGTGGATAAGGCTGGGAGAGTATCAATATCCCACATCGATTTGATAATAGACAAATGAGTTCTTTAAATATCGAACTCCAATTATGTTCCGTGCTGGGCCGTGTAACGTGGGCCTGTAACCCTAGTGGGGGCTACAAGGTAATGGAGAGAGTTCTGAGGGCTCTTGGACCCCACTCCCGGGCATGCACCTCCTCGGTTGCGTTCGATGGCAAAATTCCGAATGCGGTGAGGACGCGTGTAGATTCCTCTTCCTCCCACAGGAGGTGAAGAGAAGGAACTGCCGGCTTATCAGAGCGGCAGCAAGTGTTCGTTGTGTGGCTCACTGATCTCGCGAAAAGGCGGCATCCAGTTCTCTAGAGCTCATCTCTCACTACCATTACCTTTTGTTGGTTTGTAGATTAGGAAATTGAATACTTTTCATGGATGACATGAAAGACAATCAAATACTGATTCTTTTTTAATCTCTCTGATTTCAAATCCAAGAAAAAAGGGGCTTTAAAGTACATTAAACACAATTAAGTAGGTAGATAAACTTAATAAGAGGTGATACCTCGGTTCTCTGGCGGAGGCAGGGGGTCTTGAGACCTAAAATATTGAAAAAAAAAAAAGAAAAAATTGTTAAAATTTAAAGTTAAAAAAATTTAGTATATTTATT